TCAAAAGAAGGAGAAACCCAAAAAAGCCTAAACTCAGTCAAGAAGGTAACAACCTCAGAGAAACACTTTTGGCTTTCTTTTGTTTTTTATTGCTGCTAACAGAATTTGGACTCTGCGTTTATTCCATATCAAGGATAGATTATTTTTAAATTAATTACTAGCTTTGAAAAGTACAAATGAACAGAAAGCATAACCCAAAATTAATATCACTGAGCAAAAATATAACATTTCTTTTGTGTTACAAAATGCTTACCCAGCATTATCATTTTGTGATCATAGGTTACTTGAAATGTCCTTGTGATGTTTGTCAAATTTAATAAAGCTTTTCTACATTATTTGTTTTTGTAAGGTTGCTATATTCATATCTCACTAAAAGGTCATTTTTTAAAAAAAAAAAAAAAGGAAATGAAGATTTAGGATTTAAATTTTCTTCTCCTCATATAACCCACTACAGCCATGTTGGGTTGACTATATTTATTTAAACCTCAAATTGATCATTTTTTTAATTGGTAAAAATGGATTGTTCTTGGTGTTTCTGTGGGTCATTCACCAAGGAATAACACTGTTAATAGTTACTGAAGCCCTGGAAATAGCAGCTTAATTACACAAAAATTTAAAATTGAGAATAATGGTATAAGTGCAAATGTAGAAGCTGTCCTGCTTGTTAGTGGTTTATAGTTAAATTTACTACTATAGGTAGTTTTTTTGTTTAGATTTTTAATTAGTAAGTAGGTCTGGTAAAATATGAATTATTGTGTAATCACAAGTGATAAAATATATGAGCATTACAGTCTGTAGGTGTAATGTAAAGCAAGATTAGTAGTATCAAGCAATTAAATGGAAGCTATATTTAAGAGTAAAAGAAAGGTTTAATGTTACCCTTAAGTGTAATTTAAACTGTCACTAAATATTTTTAACTGCAATAAAAGCATGTTAATTGTAAGAGTGACTTCTTTACTATTTATTTATTTATCTATTTATTTATTTATTTATTTTTGGTGCCAGGGATCGAACTCAGGTCCTTGTGGTTATGGAACAAGTGGCAGAACCACTGAGCTAAATCCCAAGCCCCTATAGTGACTTCTTTTTTTTTTTTTTTTAAATTAAATTCTTTTATTGGTACATTTTAGGTATACAACACAATTACATTTCTCATTGGGAATTGTACCTTTACATATGCATCTTGGTTCTTATTTTTTCCCCATTCCTAGCCCTCCCTTCACCCCCTCCACCCTTCCCTATTTACAAAGACTTTATTTCCATTTTTTCCATTTCTCATCATTTTTCCTTTCCCTTCTTTCCTTTCCCCTGCCCCTCCCACTACCCCTACCCCTTTGGACCTTTTCTTCCTATTTTGCATTATTGATTATTCATTCTAATCATTGGTACATTTTAGGTATACAATATAATGATATTCATCATTGGAAATTTGCACCCTTACATAGAGTGACTTCTTTATAAGACCTCATTTGGGGGCTGGGACTTTAGCTCAGTGGTTCTGGTGCCTACCTTGCAAGCACAAGGTCCTGAGTTCGATCCCTGGTACCAAAAAAAAAAAAAAAAAAAGTAATTTAAGACCTCATTTCTTAAAGTAAGTTTTTTTAAGAATACAAAAGCTTACTGAAATAATTTGTCTTTGTCACTAATTCATAACGGATTGAATTTTTTCTTGGCTTTTAAGCTCAATGATGAAAGCTCCAAACAGCACAAGATAATTTTGTGTGTTGTAGGTATGAACTAAATCTAATTGTAGTAAAAATGATTATTGAAAAGGTCATTGTTGGTTCCATAGCATACCACTGGTTATATGATTCTTCTTAAATATTTTGAGTTTGGCTTTAATTTTTCTATAATTGGACATTAAATAGAAGAAACTTTTAATATCCTTTCATGTACGAATTATTAACTTATATAAAAGTAATGTGCTAGTTACCTATAATAAGTTATTTTTCTTCTGCATTCCTGAGCTCTACCCCATTTTCTGAATTGTGTTTGTTCCACCATCAGCAAAATTAATGCCTATACTTCCCCCAATTTAGCTACACCTTTGCTTCTACACCTTACCATGACAGGTGGATATACAGTGCCTTTAGCAAGAACCTGGTAAGCAACGCATAGAGCACTTAGGGAGGTATATAGAGCTCATCACAAAGAACTTTCTAGATCTCCCCTTCCCCCTTCCTCCTTCCCCTCCCTTCCTCTCTCTTTCACACTCTCTCTCTCTCTCTCAATTTTGTTTTCACCCTGGAATTATTTAGCAGTGTATTTGGCTAGGTAAAACTTCAAGAGTGGAAAAAAATGTGGAACATTTCTAAAATAGCATGTTATAGATTATACATAAAGTATAAAATACTTAAGACTTGCATTTTGTGTAGTTTCGAATATATTAAATATGTGAATGATTTGACACAGAAAAAAACCAACTATTTTATTTAGTGTAATTTTCTAGAACTTAGTTAGCCCTCCCAACAAAACTGCAGTGGAGATTACTGCAGACATGTATCCGTGGGGTCACTTTGGAAGCTAAGCTAATGCAACCCTAATTGGCAAGAAGGTTGTAAGAGGTTTGAGCAATAACTGGACATTTTACTATGGAAATAATAGGTATAGAAATTATTTCTAAAACAAAGTTACTTGGTTTCCTTTTTGCTTTTAAAGCAGTATCTGTGATGAAACTAAAGATATGATTTCCTGTAACAAAATAAGAAGAACTTGGGCTATATGGAAGACTTGTATTCTCATTTGTGGTTGTGTATTAGCCTTCATTTATTTTATTCACTGGTAGTATTCTTCCAATTGTGTTAAATGAATGACTATGATAACTACATTCTAAATGTTTTAGTCATTTAAGAATATAAAGATAGAGGTAGAGACATATAGATATTATAAAGATACATAAATATAGAATATGTATTCCATGCATATATATACATATATATTAGTCTACCAAAAATTTATACACACTTCAGAAAAAGAAAAACTTGTATGAATATTTTAATAATAAATTTATTAAAACATCATGAGATTAATAAAAGTTACTTTTGGCCTCTACAAATACAAGAGGTGCTCAAAGTGATGACCATTAGCTTCCAGACATTTATTAATATGGCCAACTGCTGCTTGGGTGACCTTGATCATTGACATTGCTGCACATGCATTTTCAATTTCTCCTTTAAGACCCAGCAGTGTAGTGGGTTTTTACCCTTACAAGGGTAACATCATCTGCTGAAAAACATCATACTTTTCCTAAAGTATGTATACATTCTTTTGCCAAATTCTATACATTCCTTTGCATGGGTACCTAGAATGGTTTAATCCATGTACTTTTTCAGTTTTTGTCCATCTCTGGTTCCCCTGATACTTGTTGCAAGACTGGTTCATTCTTTCTAATTAAGAATTGAAGACTATTTAATTTAGAGATATTTGTTCTTTTTTGAATAGTAAATATTAGTCTTTGTAACTTGAAAAAATTAGAAGTGTGTGGAGAAATAATTTTTTTCTAAGTTATATAAACAGGCATATTAGCCAAAAAATACATAAATTTTGTGTTAGTCACCCCTCATTTTAGCAGTAGAATATGAAACAATTTAGCAGTGCATCCCAAAGGCAGATAAAAATTGTATAAGTTACTATAACATTTTTAAAGATAAATCTTACCTAAGCATTTTAATTTTTTCCTGAAAAATGAGTAATTGATGTGGTTAAAAATATAATCTAATTATTCTGTTGATTAATTTGATCATATGAATAAAAGAATTCAAGTATTTGATCACATGATTCCTTGTAAACTGTGATACATATGTGTGATTATATACTGTTTTATCACAGCTTTGGTCCTTGCTTAAATATAATACTCTTAAAGCAAAGTATTTTGGGGGGTTTTTTTTTTACTCACTTTAACCCCACAGATGGTTATATTTGGTTCAAATTTTGCGAAAAAGTAGTATCTCTTTACAGATTTTTAAAGAATTTCTTCTGTTCTATATTTGGTACTACTAGGAATTTAGAATTTTTAATTATTTGGCATATGCTACAATCACACAGAATTCTAGAGTAAGTTCCTAGAAAGAGACTTATGTAAGACAATTGTATCCACAATATATAAAATTAAAAGTAGATACAACAAATCAAACCAAATTATTTTCTTGTAAGCATTAGATAAAACTTGCTTACTAACCATTTATTAAAATTCTAAGGTGTCAGTATTTATGTTATACAGTTATACACAAATGTTACTTAGTATTCTTATTATTGCTTATGTCTGCTCTGTGGCATATTTATTTATCTGACCATAAAATCAATGTGAAAAGCATCTCTAGAAAGAAACCTTGCAGGTGAGATGTATTTATCTATCTCAAGCTAAGAAATTTAGTACCACTATATTTTTATTTAAAATAACTGTCTATGCATGACCTAAAAATAAATATATACAGTACTGATTTTCCCCATATTTAATTTTAAAATGAATATTTTAGATGAGTGAAATGTGAGAATTCAGTTTTCTAAATTTGACTATATTAATTTGTCATCTAAACATTTGTAAAAGGTTAAGTTAACAAAAAAATCAGTAGATCATGAAAAGACCATGAAATTTTAGAAAATTGTATTTTTAACTCATAATCTTACATATGAAGTACCTATGAGACTACTACATATTTTTTCCCTTTTCCTTTTGAGGATTTGTGATTTCAATTAAATATGAAAGATCTACGCTTTTCAAGTATAATATGTTTTATCACATAGAAATAAAATTTAATGATTATGATCTGATAGAGAATTGTAAAATTAATCTGAACACTTAAAACTTGGATTTTACTGTATTGTATTTTATATATAATGTTTGTTCAAAACCTATATTCACTGTAATATATTTTTGATATGTAATATTTTCCCTGCTAAATTAATAAATTATAATTTTCTCAATTACATGAGAAAATGATTATTCTTCATGTTACTCTCAGAAGTATTATTTTCTAAATTTTGGTTTTGTTTCTCTGCAGACGGTGGGTACGCCTACTGTTTGGAAGAGAATTCCCTCTGCAAGATCTGCTGGTGGTTTGGGATGCCTTGTTTGCAGATGGCCTTAACTTGAGTTTAGTTGACTATGTCTTCATAGCCATGCTACTCTACATCCGAGATGCTTGTAAGTTTTAATGTCTTTGCCTACATTTGACTATGTGGCCCTTATTTTTCAAAAATGCTTTGTGTTTTAAATATACTTTATTTTATTGTCTGATTCACATATACCTACATTTTTATAGTAGATAATATATTAAAATTTCAAAGGAAAGCATTAAATATATTTTCTGTTAGCAAATAATTTTAGGAAATGTGGGTGATTTTATCTTGAAATAATTGAAATTTTTTTTAAACCATGTCTGAAGGCTTAACACTTGCTTTAGTATCATTATACACATTTATGAAATGCATTCAAAAAGCGAGCCTTTCAGATATGTTTAGAGCTCCACCTTCTGACATATACTGAGTATTCGTGGGTATTTATTGCAAGATTGGAGCTGTTTTTATAGTATCAATGCCTTGGCAAATTAAAAAAAAAAAAATATATATATATACATACATACATATATATATATATATATATATGTATGTATGTATATGGAGTATTTGACTTCCTCCCAGTTAACAAAATTTATCACTCAGTCTAGTCTAATGGTAGATGTGTCCACATCTCCTCAGTTTTACCTTCGGATGCTCACCCTAGCCAGAAAGGTAGTATGTACCTCTTTCTAATGCTCTAATATTTCTCAGCTTGAAGAAGATATCAGAGTATGTCTTAAATTTCAAAATGCTTCAAATTATTTTCCTTCTCAGAAAAATAATCACAGTTCACAAAGCAAGATTGTAAGCCAAAATATAATTAGGAAAGATTCACCAAGTGCTGTGACTGAATTAGGAAATAGAAAACTATTCTAAAAGTAGTACTTTGCCAGGAAACCGTATACTATTTGGAGTCATTCTTAATCATGACTGTTAAATTGCTACATGGGTATCTTTATTTGTTCATTGAATATCAGTTGTGCCAGATGTTCTTGTTATACTTCTGGACTAATATTCTTTAAAATTTTAGATTATATTTTTTTATTTTCCTCAAAATTACTTGGAATGCATAAATAACAAGATCGCCACATTTTATCCAAAAATTGTAAGGTTTTTTTCCCTGTGCCTTGAAGGTCAAATAGTTTGGGTTATGACAACAGTAAAAGTGAAAGTCCTTCTTTTCAGAGCCAAAGGTAAATATAGAAGAACATGGAAATAATGATATGACATCTGGAAAATAGAGAAAGATGTTTGGGTAGATGTGATAGATACTGGATTTTTGTATATTCAATACCGGTGTTCCTTTTTTAAAGTTTTTTTTTAAATTGTAAGTAATAAAAAAAAAGAAAACGTACCATCTCCAATTCTAGCACTCTGGGACACTGATCATGGAGAATCACAAGTTCTAGCACACCCTAGGCGACTTAACAAAACACTGTCTCAAAAAAAAAAAAAAAAAAAGTTCACAAGAGAGATCTTTTTTAGGAAAACATTTTTCACAATACTTTTCAAGTCAAACTATTAAAATATATTCTGATTCTCTAATCTTAAACAATTAACAATTTGCTCTTTTTATTACTTTGGCACATCACCCATATCTATCTAATTTAATCATCCTGTCATCTATACTAAGATCAGTTCTTTTAATTTCATAAAACATGACCACATTTGGCAGCTGAAGTCCTTACACATTTTTAATCTTTCCACTGATGATTTTATAAATATGGGCACATGTGGAAAAGTACAGAAGTAGTAAAGTTGTTGATTCATTTTAATTTTGGTTAAGTCCATTAACAGTGGATATCTCCTAAAGTAGAGTGAATATTTCTCAGGTATTTAAGGTTATTCCTGACCTAAAGGAGCTTACCAACTAGTAGGGAAGAGTGATGTAAATAATTTCAAATGAATGTACCTAATGTTTTGGTTGAGAGGTCAGATAGTGTAAAAATTTCAGGAGAGATACTGAGCTCCATCTAGACCAGTTGTGAGTGAGTAGAAATAATGTTACAGGTATTAGCAAGCCAAATAAAGGGATCTTCATTCCAGGCAGAAGTAATAGCATAGACAAAGGCCTGGAAGTGAGAAGCCCCTTAAAAAGGGGCCGTGTGTGTGTGTGTAAGATACTAGAACCTACTAGTACTAGGTATTAGCAGAGTATAAAGGGAGGGAGGGAGGTTATAAGACTGAAGAAGTGAACAGGTAGAATCATGATGAAAGTCTTTAACCTGAAAGTGATAGGGAATTATTGAAAGGTTTAAAGCAGAGGTACGACTACTGTTAGATCACTCAAGCAGTAGTATGGAAAATGAACTTGAAGGAGACAAGACTAGAGCAAGAAAATCAAATGAGTTTATGAAAGTTTATTTTTTCAGGAGAAAAATAGTGGAATAGAACAATATTGAGAGCTAAAATCAGCATGACTTTAAAATATGACTTGATTTTTAAATATTATAGATGAGGGAGAATGGGGAATCTAGAACAGTCCTCTGTTTGGAGCATTACATGATTGGGTCACCTTATAGAAAATGTAAGGATTACCAGGTTTTAGATACAGAGATGACTAATTGAGTTTTGGCCATGCTAAGTTTGACATACCTGTAGGAAATCATAGCCTGAAGATTTGGAAAATAAAACTCAATGTCAATATCATAGCTACAGATTTAATTTTACAAACAACAGGTATTTCTTAGTTTATAGTGTAAGAGTAAATGTGATCTCCTTAAGAACAAGATGATATCACCTAGTTTGTTTAGAATAGTCTTAGTTTACATATGCTTCCCTAGAGTAGTAATTAGTAATACTGCCCACTTTCACTACAAAAGCATAGCATTAGGATCATAAACTTTATATAGTTTGTCTGCCTAAGGTGGATATATATAGAAACAGAATGTGGGCAAAGATAGAGCTCAGGGTTTCGCCCCAGCACTTCAGAAACATTGGAAAAGGAAAAGCCAAGGAAGTGTTTATAGTGTAACCTCCAGACTGTGTGTTCTGAGCCAAGAAGGGAAAAAGATACAGTAATATAAGGTTAGAAAAATCCACTCAGATTTGACACTATGAAGGAACAATGATTGTCCTTTGCCGGAGTCAACTTAATGAAATGATAGGGCAGAACCTAGATAATAGAAGATTAAAGAGTGACTTGACAGGAAGTTCAAAAGCTTTTTCTTTAGCTCTTTATTGTTGTTTTACATGGAATTACTTATTCAACTAAAAGGATGATCCACCTCTCTTTTTTTTGTAATCTTTAAATATGGGGAAAAGACTAGGGAAGGAAGATGTAGCTAGAGGGTAAATTCAAGGGCAAAGAAAGTTGGATGGTTGCCTTTAGAATGACACTAGAGTATGTTGGAACTAGTAGAGAACTAATGAAGAGGTTTACATCTCAAATCAATCTGTTTCTCCTTCAAGAGCCAGTACTAGTTTTTCCCTCCTGTTCTGAGGGGATCTCCTGGCTGAGATCTATGAACAGAGAAATTGTCTTGTTTGTTTTATACTTTTTACTTGTTTATTGTTCTATTCTTCACACCTGCTATGCCCTCCTTCCCTCTTCATCTAGAGGTAAGATTTTGCTGTTTTGGTTTCCCTACTGTATATGTCAGGGCATTTCCTTATGAAAACTTTAAGCAAATTTTTGTTTGTTTGTTTTTTGAGTGAGGTAGTTGAGGAAACAAGCACTCAGAGGCAATAGTAGAGAATGGAAGGACTGTGGAAGACTAGCTATGGAATAGAGATTAAGAAAAATGATGCTGATCCTTGAAGGTTTCAGAAGTAGACCAGTTATAGATGGAGAATACCAAAAATGGAGAAATTCCATGTCTGAGAAAGGAACAAGCAAGGTCATCTGGTGTGAATGAGGCAGCCTGGGACCAGGGGTTTGGGAGGCTTGGCAAATATGGTTTGCAAAAGGGTAGGACGAACCTAGTATAACAGCTAAGGTTGTGGGTTTTTTCCACTTGTGCTCAGCAGTCAGGTTAGATAAAAGGAAATTGACTGCAATATGGGTATCAAATTAGGCCAGTCTTGTTTTTAGGAGAATCACATTTACTCTTATGCTGTTAACTAACAAATACCTGTTGTTTATAAAATTAAATCTGTAGCTATGACAGCCAAACAGCAAACTCTTAAAGAAGTACAGAAGTGTGAACAAGAAAATAACTTTTATTTAATCATTTATTCAAAGAATCAACCATTCAAACAGTATTGAATTTCTAGTATTTCCCAGAAATCATGCTACCTAGATAATAGTGATGAAGAGACATGAAGAATGTCTAGATGCACAGTATGAACTTCAAAGGCAAAGCAAGATAGGAAGCAATGGTTTGGAAGCAAAATCGGGGATCAGAGTGGTCTCCCACCTTACGTGTGAAGGTTGCAAGGGCAGCAGTTAGTCCTGGGGAACTAGGCTTAAAAAGAAAGCAAGACAGGGTTCCTCAGAAAAGAAGTAAAAGGGAGGGGAGCAGCAAGAGGAAAAGAGGACCCAGAACAGAACTGGGTAGAGTTAACAGGAGGCCAGTACTAATTAGGTGAGTTTAGGCCATGGTCAGTAACTGGGAAAAAGTGGACAATTGCTAACCTCAGCATTCCATATAAACCATAGTTTCACTAAGGCCAGCCTGGGCAACTTATCAAGACCTAAATAAAAAAGTTCTGAGGATGTAGCTCAGTGCAAAACTTGCTGTACATGTACAGGGCCATGAGTTCACAACATACACACAAAACCCACTATCCACAATGAAATAAAATATATCTATATTCAAATTTAGCATTCTTGACCTGTGGTTTTCTTTCATTTGAACTAAAAAAAGAGGCAAATCTATGAATCAAGCTTACAATTTTCTTTCTTAAAATCTTAATGTCCGCCAAATGTTTTCAGGCTTCATTTCCATGACATTTTACAGACATGGAAGTAGTAGAACTTGGGCTCTATATTGGCCAGATTTCCTGTCACTGGTACATTATATTTGATACCCACAATTTGAGGTGAGTTTTAATTGTGACTCACAGATTCAGAGGGTTCAGTCCATGGTCAGCTGGCTCCAAGGCAAATACATCATAGTGGAAGGGGTATGTAGGTATGTAAAG